ACCCTTGTGCAAATTAATTATGAAGGAAGATGTGGAGGGCTATGATCACCTACACCCTTGTGCAAACTAATTGAAACAAAACGAATAATTCCGTTATTATTTAATTTTTTTATGCATTTTTCTATTGAAAACCAGTGCATATGTTAGTACTTCGTATGCCCATTCCACGAAGGTTGTTCCTTGCAGATTGACCACAGATTCTCGGCTGGATTTAAATCAGGAGAGTTTCAGGGCTAGTCCATAGTACTTTGATTTACTCACTGGGAAAGCTTGCCAGTGTGTTCGTGTTGGGTTACAATTTCCATACGCTTCTTTGGAATAACGCCCATGCTGTAGGACAAATAATCGAAAGTCGAAACAATAGTGTCTGGGCGTGACGAAAATCTGATGGAATCACAAACAAATTTCATCATATATATATATAACCCGAAAATAGATTCATTTTACTGCACACCACTGCAAATGACCTAATCTGAGTAAAAAACAAAAATCGATTACATCTTTTCACTCCAGTGGGTCTAAAACTGTCCGTATGGTGAAATAAAGGAAAATAAAGCGGTTGTTTTAATTAATTTGCACAAGGGTGTATGTTCATAGCTGTCGTATAATACTTTCGAAATGCCAGCAAAATTTCGGTGCCAGTTAGTGACTAAAGAGATTCAGTCAGAATTTTGATTGTGATTTTTGATATTTTGGATCTGGGATAAAATTTATGGCGGTCTTTCTTTCATTGGCAATTTGTTTCAGTCGCAACTCGTGATAGCCCGTAATGCCGAATGAAATCATTGGCATTTTTCCAATAATCTTGTATGTCCGAGGAAATTCATCTTATGCGCAAAAATTCGGACTTTGGGTTTGATTTTATCCCGTAATAAAGAACGGTCAAAACTACGGTAAAGATGAACGTTCTTCTTCGCCACCGAAGAATTTCTTTTTCTTAACTAGACCCACCGTTATGTCTGCTGTAGCATCCAGGTGCACATTGTGCCTACACGTCAGTAGTTTCTGTTTAATTTTGGCTTTACGGTATATCAACATCAACGGGTAATTTAATGTCGACAAAATTTTTATTGCTGGTAATACTATCTATCTATCTATCTATCTATCTATCTATCGTTAAACCTCAGTATATATTGGTTTGGTTTGTTTTAAGGTATATCAACCTCAATGGTTTATATAATGCCGGAAAGATTTTTATTGCTGGTAATATTTTTCTCTATCTATCTATCTATCTATCTATCTATCTATCTATCTATCTATCTATCTCAGTCTGTTCCTATCTATCTATCTATCTATCGTTAAACCTCAATATATATTGGTTTGGTTTGTTTTAAGGTATATCAACCTCAATGGTTTATATAATGCCGGCAAGATTTTTATTGCTGGTAATATTTTTTATCTATCTATCTATCTATCTATCTATCTATCTATCTATCTATCTATCTCAACGTCTTATCTATCTATCTATCAATCTATCTATCTAAGTATATTTTGGTTTGGTTTGATTTGTTTTACGGCATATCAACCTCAACGGGTTATTTAATCCAGGCAAGATTTTTATTGTTTGTAATGTTTTCTATGTATCTATCTCCGTCTGTTCCTATCTATCTATCTATCTATCTATCTATCTATCTATCTCCGTCTGTTCCTATCTATCTATCTATCTATCTATCTCATCTCAGTATACATTGATTTGCTTTGGTTTGTTTTACGGTATATCAACCTCAACAGGTTATTTAATTCCGACGCGATTTTTATTGCTAGTAATAATTACTATTTATGAATCCAGTTCGATTTAGTAATAAGTCTTGAAACTAAAATAAAACTTTTTGTTTTTTTTTAAATGTATTGGTGGTAATAATTTTTCCTTCCAAAATTCAGTGTAGTAACAATTTTTTACAAAAACGGTGGGGTAATGGATAGTGGCTCCAATTGAGGAATCGGAGAGCCGAGTTCGAATTCCAGTCGAATCACTCCTCCCACTTCTCTTGGACATGAGTAGAGACTTACGCCTTGTTTCTTGTTTAGGAAGGGGTTTCCGGTACTCTCTCTCTCTCTCTCTCTCTCTCTCTCTCTGGCCTCTGTATCTCCAGTTGCGTTAATCTATCCACTACTCTTCTCCTCATCCTTTCTTCTATCACTCCTATCTGACCTTGCTCCAAATTTTCTGTAACCCGTTGCGTCCTAGTGGCTTTCCGCCTTGCTTGGGGTGAAACGCTTAAAAAAAAAAAAAATTCACTTACGTGCTAATACCCTGATGTAAGATATGAATCCTCTTCCTCACCCACCAGCTATGGGTAAATAGCAGGACAGACCGGGTTCTATAGCCTTGCATGGCAACTGGTCTACCGCAGAAAGAAATGGCAACCTACTGCGGGAAAAAAAATCTACCTCGTCAGTAAAGATGCATGATCGCCTAAGCGTGTATCACGCATGGCACATAAGTATTTACTAGTATTAAAAACTATTTTTACACTTTCATAGTGTTTTGACCCCAGTTTGGTGGTGGGTCAACTATTTGCCGATAGTTGGGACCCTAACAGATGCTACCATCCCCTGGATTAGAGTGGACCTGGGAACACCAGCAAAGAAAAGATGGTTCCGCGTTCCTCAAAATCTCCTCATCAGAGGCCTTGCTGTCGGATGTAGTTTATCGTCTTACCCCGGACGCGGATGTAGTTTATCGTCTTACCCGGGACTCGGATGTTGTTTATCGTCTTACCCCGGACGCGGATGTAGTTTATCGTCTTACTCGGGACGCGGATGTTGTTTATCGTCTTACCCCGGACGCGGATGTAGTTTATCGTCCCACCCGGGACACGGACGTAGTTTAGCGTCTAACCCAGAACGTGGATGTCGTTTATCGTCTTACCCAGGACGCGGATGTAGTTTATCGACTTACCCGGGACGCAGATGTAGTTTATCGTCTTACCCGGGACGCGGATGTTGTTTATAGTCTCACCTGGGACGCAATGTTATCGGGCCTATCTTGGGGTCTCGCCTCCAGTCACTTGCTCACCGACGTAATGTGACTTTCCTCTGTTTTTCTATATATATTTTAATGGCATCTGCTCTACGAGCTGTTTTCACTTGTGCCCCGACTGCATGAATTTAAGCGTGCTACTAGGTTGGCATTCCGGTCCCACCCTTTTACTGTCGAAAGTACTCCAACAGTTCTCACACTTCCCAACAGTTGAACTCCCTCCCTCTTACTTGCTTCCCTGATAACTATAAACTTCAGCAATTTTAATGTAATGTCAATCGACATCTTCTGTTAACGTGATCCCTGTTCTTCTTTTTTATCCTTCTCCGTTCTTTTTTAACCTTTCCTTAAACCCCTCCCATACCCAGTCTTTTCTCTTACTTACACTCTATGTGGTCCCCTGCGTACTAGTGGCACTCCCGCCTTGCTTGGGGTGAATTGCTTAAAAAAATAATAATAGCATTTAGACCAAGACTACATTTTTTAATTATAAAATAAATCTTTTCTCCAAAGGCAAAAAAAAAAAAAATCTTCATTTCTCGTATTTCTAAGAGGATTTTTTTTTTTTGCCTTTGAGATGCCAGAATATATATATATATATATATATATATATATATATATATATATATATATATATATATATATATATAAACAGGTGGAAGTCACATTACGTCGGTGAGCAAGTGACTGGAGGCGAGACCCCAAGTCAGGACCGATCACATTGCATATCCGTCTTTCAGCTGAGTTACAAATTCCCAGAAATTACTTTTTAGTAGTGTGGCCTGCATTGTGATGAGCCATAGTTCAGAAGGCCCACTACTCGAAAAAGATTGATCATGCTTGGTTTAGGATGATGCAGTCATCTCGTTAAAAGAATCGTCGAGAAAATTATTATTATTATTATAATTATTATAAATTTAATACTCGCCCACACAGGGCAAATCGATCTCCCATCTGTCATGAATACTTTTAACAGGATCTAGATTAGCCTACCGCCCTGTTCATACACCTCCCTGTCTTTTGAACAGGAGTATTCAATGACCTTTTGGATATCTAAGGATATCGCTCACTTGATAAGTTTATTATTGAATACTTCTCTGAATCTATGACAGGACATAAGCAGTGGACCTAGAGGAACGAAATTCATACTGTTTATCGCTCAGGAATTTTTTTTTTTCTGTTCAGCTACCTTTCTTAATTTTAGAGAGTGAATGGAATAAAACAAGTGTTGGCATATTACACTTTGGGTAGTTATATTCTAAGAAGTTACCCACACAACATAATCAAATACGTTTAATTTGAGGAATTCCTCACCACTGATGGGATCCTATAATAAACGATTCAAAAATTTTTTTTTTGGTTTCTTTTTTATTTCATATTTTCTTTCTTGAATCCCTTCCATTCCATTCATTTTCTTCCTTCTTTTTTCTTCCTGTTTTTTTCTTTTTCTTCGTTTTCTTCTGCTCTTTGTTTGTTTGTTTATGCCTTTCATCCATCCGATATAATTATCCAGGATGTACCCGTAGAATAGAGCTTATGGAGGCGAGAATGTCATTCGTGAGCATACTTTCGCAGATACCCCACGAAAGGAATGAATCCACCTATCCTGACCCAATCTAGGATTAATTAGCAGAGCAGACTGAATACTCAATCTTGTTTGCCATCCAATTTAGGAGAAGGACACTTCCTGAATTCAAAACTGGTTGATTATCTCTATAGCAATCCCATCGCGTAAAAACCTTCTCGCTACAGAAACCACAGCAGCAATGCCTAGAGTAGTGAGGCTGTGGTCCTAGTTTGGTGATGTTGTGGCCCTAAAGAAGTTTACAAGACCTCGGGAGCCTACTCGGCTGGAGGTGTGAACAGATGGTAGATCTCAATTTCAAGTGAATAGATCTCTTCTATGTTTTTTTTAAATTTTTCCTATCAGTAATTCGTTAGGGTCGTAGGGGCAACATATGTACTGTCGGCCCAGTAACAGTGATGGCAAGATAGATTAACGGCGTATAAATCCATCCTAGACCGTTTTGCCATGAACTAGCATAGGGCCCATATAGATAGATAGATAGATAGATAGATAGATAGATAGATAGATAGATGGAAACAGGTTAGTATACATACATACAAACATCCATACATACATACAAAAATACATACATACACGATGAACTAGCATAGATAGATAGATAGATAGATATTGAACAGAGATAGATAGATAGATAGATAGATAGATAATGAAGTAATGAAGTAGTATAAGATAGATAGATAGATAGATAGATAGATAGATAGATAGATAGATAGAAATGAAGTAGTATAGATAGATAGATAGATAGATAGATAGATAGATAGATAGATAGAAGGATAGATAGATAGATAGATAGATAGATAGATAGATAGATAGATAGATAATGAAATAGGATAGATAGATAGATAGATAGATAGATAGATAGATAGATAGATAGATAGATAAAGAATAGACAAGGACAGATAGGAACAAATTATGATAGATAGTTAGAGAGAGATAGGAACAGACAAGTCTGTGGAGCTATTTGTATTTGATGGATTTGATGGATTCATGACTTTCCCAAGGTTATTAGTTCGTATGTGAACTCGACTGTAATTCGAACTCGGGTCTTCGATTCCTCAATCTCGAGTCGCCTTCCTCTACTCCACCATTCACCGTTACACTTATTCGTTTGTTTGTTTCTCGTAGTGATTAATAGCATCTTGTCATCACACGCCCGGAAGCGACTTGTGGTGCGCTGACTACTTGATGAATTTCGTTTGATGAATTTCGTCGATTCTCTTTCCATGCGCCATTTGAATCACGCCACTTAACAAAGAAGCGAATGTTGCGACAGGCTTTCTCTCTCCTTATCTGGCATAAGCGGTTCAATATTCGCGGCTTTCAGTTGCAGCACCAACATTTGATAAAAGGATTAGCGAATTCTTCTCTATCGTTTCCAGTCGCCTTCCCCATCCACCAACTGATAAGTGACGGCGAACAATTCAATATATACAGATTTAATTTTTCCTCTAGGTTAAATCAAATCCGTAAAGGCAGACCTTGTTTGGTGTTTTAAAAGGTGGTGCCATTATCAGCGCCCATTAATTAATGTCTACAACATTTGTTTTCTTTTGTTGCTTAATTTAACAGATACTAGCTTAAAAGCCGCCCTGTTAGGCGGCATTTAAGCTAGCTCCTGCAGAGGGCTCTTCAATGGGACTCCATCCCAATAACTAGGGAGGAGTAGATGCGATAAACAAAAATAAACTCCAGAACTCTAAACTGATCATTGCATTTAAGTATTGCATTAATAAGCTTGCCTTTTAAAAGTACAACGATAATTCTTCTGCCGCCGCTTAGTTTAAAGAAAATTTAATGTACGTAGGTCCTTATTTTCCGTGCTTAGTTTAAAGACAATTTGATGTACGTAGGTCCTTATTTTCCGTTCTTAGTTTAAAGACAATTTGATGTACGTAGGTCCTTACTTTCCGTGGTGAGTTTAAAGACAATTTGATGTACGTAGGTCCTTACTTTCCGTGCTGAGTTTAAAAACAATTTGATGTACGTAGGTCCTTATTTTCCGTGCTTAGTTTAAAGACAATTTGATGTACGTAGGTCCTTACTTTCCGTGGTGAGTTTAAAGACAATTTGATGTACGTAGGTCCTTATTTTCCGTTCTTAGTGTAAAGACAATTTGATGGAGGTAGGTCCTTACTTTCCGTGCTTAGTTTAAAGACAATTTGATGTAGGTAGGTTCTTACTTTCCGTGCTTAGTATGAAGACAATTTGATGTACGTAGGTCCTTACTTTCCGTGCAAACAATTATTTTTATATCATGGGTGGATTTCGCAATTAATTCCGATTATTTTCAAACTTGTTTCCAAGAATAAAAATTGTTATCGTACAAGAAAATTTTGTTGCAAAATATCAAGGAAAAATATCGCCGAAAAAAAATCGCAGTAATGAAAAATTGGGAATCCAGAATTTCAGGACTGGGGGTCTGGATCCGGTCCGGGAGGTTTTTAACTTACTCACGGTGTCAGCCTGATTCCAAAATGGTATGCTATGATGGGCTACGGCCTCTACGATTAAAGCTGAGGAAGACAGACGCAATGACGCACTGATATTCGTATTAATATAGATTATTTATCATATATTAAATGTTTATCGTAAATTTATTACACATTTATTGCCGTATAAATTCGCGTATACTGCGACTTTTCAAGTACTAATTTTGAAGTTAATTTTAAGAGGGTCGCATCATACACGCGATATAATATTAGCGTGTGTACTACTGCTACTGGGTTTGCGATTGACCAAAGTATATATCCATTTACTGTCATCAAATTAGCTTCAAACTTAGGTCTTCAAAGGCTGCACGATACGTGAGTATATACGATAATATAATTGTTATTATATATATATATATATATATATATATATATATATATATATATATATAGGAAATGGAGAAAGTCCGAAAATTATTTTAAGACATTTTTATGTTTATATATTCTTTTTATAGATACAAATATTTAAGTAAATGCTTTGTTTATAATAAACAGTATTAAACAACATTTACTGGACATCCAGGCTGGTAAATGTTGTTTAATACTGTTTATTATAAACAGAGCATTTACTTAAATATTTGTATCTATAAAAAGAATTTTTAAACATGAAAATGTATATATATATATATATATATATATATATATATATATACATTGATCTTAGAAAGTGGTTGTATACACCTGACAGTTTCGATATTTCCAAACGAGTTTAGCGCCATGATTGACATCTGTATAAATGCGTCAATCTGGCCAGGCTGTTTAAACAATGACCCCAATTAAAGAGAGATACTATGTACTCGCGTATCATACGAGTTTTGAAGACATAATTTTGAAGTTAATTTTAAGAGGGTTGCATGATACACGCGATATAAAACTAGCGTATGTAGTGCTGGCTCTGCTAACAGTTTTTTTTATCGCACTTCTCGCTTGGGGGACTCTCTTCTGGCTCCATTTTTTCTAGTCAACTTTAATCTTCCAAAATTTAAATGTAATGTCATGGAGACGAAGGAAAGCAATGATGGCGGGCAAAGAGGCATTAGTAAAGAAAATGGTGGAAAAGCTGACAACACAAAATTACAATCTAGCAATTCTGTATTTCTCCTAACTTAATTATATGAATATTTCGTTTATTAATTTTTTTTTTTTTCGTAATTATCCGCCGATGACAACCAATGAAATCATATCGTTCGTATTTCCTTTGCACAGCTCAAATGTGCATACAACTACCGGAAATAATTCGGAACATTTAGATTAAGGGCCATGATGATAAGAATTATATTTGTTCAGCAATGTTTGGTTACTTTACACATTCACTCTCGGTCACTCATTACACGGATATCTTACACGGTTGAAGAATAAAAAGGCACGAACCTATATATGAAGATTAAAAAACATACAGACCCAAATTTGAACTTCATCGAATAAGTCATCTGATAGATAGATAGATAGATAGATAGATAGATAGATAGATAGATAGATAGATAGGAAGGAACAGACTAGGATAGATAGATAGATAGATAGATAGATAGATAGATAGATAGATAGATAGATAGGAACAGACTAAGATAGATAGATAGATAGATAGATAGATAGATAGATAGATAGATAGATAGAACAGACTGGGATAGATAGATAGATAGATAGATAGATAGATAGATAGATAGATAGGAACAGACTATCATAGATAGATAGATAGATAGATAGAACAGACTAGGATAGATAGATAGATAGATAGATAGATAGATAGATAGATAGATAGGAAGGAAACAGACTGGGATAGATAGATAGATAGATAGATAGATAGATAGATAGATGGATAGATTATAGATAGGAAGATAGATAGATAGATAGATAGATAGATAGATAGATAGATAGATAGAAACAGACTATCATAGATAGATAGATAGATAGATAGATAGATGATAGATAGAAGACTGGGATAGATAGATAGATAGATAGATAGATAGATAGATAGATAGATAGATAGGAACAGACTATCATAGATAGATAGATAGATAGATAGATAGATAGATAGAACAGACTAGAATAGATAGATAGATAGATAGATAGATAGATAGATAGATAGATAGATAGATAGAACAGACTAGATAGATAGATAGATAGATAGATAGATAGATAGATAGATAGATAGATAGATGGGAAGGAACAGATAGATAGATAGATAGATAGATAGATAGATAGATAGGAACAGACTATCATAGATAGATAGATAGATAGTTAGATAGATAGATAGATAGATAGATCACTCAATGACTGAATTTAGTGAAACTGATATGTCCAATGGGCCAGCGATTATGTTCCCTTTCTCTCGTTACTTAATAATTGTTTTTTTTTCTCTCTTCTGCCGAAAATAGTTGAAATTTGAAATTGTCCACACATTCCATTCCGCCTTTCCTTGATTGATTGTCTTCGTGATGTGAAGCGACGAGAATCCTGGAGAGAGAAATGAGAACACGATGCAATGAGCGCAGGTTATAGGAAACACGTTGAGTTGGTGAGCGTAACGGGGGGGATGGCAAACATCGCTGATGCCATCGATTGTTTCATGTTTCATTCGGACGTTGGCAGAAGCAAAGATCGTACTGGATAAACAAAAACAAAACAAAATAGAATAAAAGACAAGCACTAATCATTGGGATCTGATAAAGCAATGCCTTTATTGCGTCTCCCCTTGAGCAAGACATCGTTGGTGTGATAGATTACCATTCAAAGACAACGTGCCGAATTCAGTTTCCGAACAGAGGTGCGTGCGATATTTTCCTTGACTGGAAAAAAAAAAGAATACTTTCCCCGCTCTGTTCCGACGCCAGTCATCTGAACAATAAGCAAGTCTTTTGTATGATTGGATGTGATATATGCTTATACAATAAATACGCTATTCTGTCCTATATTCCGAGGCAGTCTCGTTTTTGGGTTTTTTTTCCGAAAGGCTATGATTTTATAAGGATCATATTTAAGGCCAACGTCCTTCCGGCATGGGTAAGACGATAAACAACATCCAACAGCAAGGCCTCTGATCAGGAGGTTTTGAAAGAGCGTGGAAACGCCTCTTAATTGCTGGTGTTCCCAGGTCTACTCTGACCTGGGGTGGTAGCACCTGTTAAGAGCATCCTGGGTAAGACGATAAACTACACCCAACAACAAGGCCTCTGATCAGGAGGTTTTGAGGAACGTGGAACCACCTCTTAATTGCTGGTGTTCCCAGGTCCACTCTGACCTGGGGTGGTAGCACCTGTTAGGGTCCCATCAATGGACAAATAGTTATCTCCCAAACTGGGGTCAAAACACTATAAAATTGTAAAAATTGATTTTAATACCAGCAATAAATTTGTGTAAGAAAATATTACCAGCAATAAATTTTTGAAGAAAAAATTATTACCCGTAATTCATTATTAGCAGTAATACATTTTTGGAAATAAATATTAGCAGCAATACATTTTTGAAAAAAAATATTACCAGTAATATATATTTGAAAAAGAGTATATTATCATAATACATTTTGGGAAAAAATATTACCAGCAATAAATTTTTCAAAAACAATATATTGCCGGCAATATATTTTTGGAAAAAATATTCCCAGAAATACTTTTTGAAAAAAAATATTACAAGCAATAAAAATTTTGTTGGCATTAAATAACCCACTGAGGTTGATATGCCGTAAAACAAACCAAACGAAACACAACGTCTGTAATGGTCTACAAGCCTTCCCTTTTCG